AAAAAAAAAAACAAAAAAAAAAAACCCTGCCACATAAAATGCAGGTCTAGTAGCAATTACTTTTATTACTTAAGTCAGGGTAGTGTTACTTAAGTCAGGGTGGGGCTGGAGAAGGCAGCGGAAATGGTGCATGGGGTGCTGGAAGCCTGCTGAGCCCCAACTTCTGTGAGCTTGCCTGGGTTTTCAGTGCCCTGTGCACTGCCCTGTCACCTTCTCTGGCTGCCAGACATGTACACATGCACATTTTTTTTTATCCACAATAGAACAGTTTGCCCCAGTCAAACTAAAATACATCCGCGGTGGTCTAAGTTGCCATGCTCAAATAATTTTTAATATGAAAAAAAACCATGTGCCTGTACGTGGTGAGGCTGTTGTTAGACAAACAACAATTTTCTCATCACTTTGTCACGTGTACGTGGCCCCACCAACTCGTGTACAAGTGCCCAACATGTCTAGGTAAATGGAAAAAGGTAAAAAGTGCAGCATGGGTTCACTAAAGGTAGCTCTCATCAACTAATCAAATGTTCTTTAACTGATTTGCTTGAGAAAAATGTGAATCTCATTTTTATCGGCTATTGTAAATTATTGAAGTTTATTAGAGATTATTATCTCTAAAGCAGGGATAATATTCCCTCATTTTACAGGCATACAAGGTTTGTTTGTAAAGGTCTCAATCTAAGGGTGTAGGTGCACATTACCTTTCCCATGTATTAAGGGCTCTTAAGATGGGAGTGTCCACACATCAAGACAGGAAAGGGCAAGCTAAGTGGGCTCTGAGTGCTTCAGAGAGGAATCCTCTTTGGGCAAGGATTCTTTAGCTAGTTTTAGGTATTTTATGTTGCAGTAACGTTAGACTGCTCAGTGGTGCCAGTATGGTGTCATGGAACCCGCCCACCTACCACTGCTCTCTGGGCTAAGTCCAGCCCCCACCAGCCCCTGGAGTGGGACAGAAGCTTCCCTTGTCCTGGGAAGAGTGCCTGTAGCTGCAGATGAGCAAGAAGTCAGGGAAGAGACTCAGGGGGAGATGGGGGTGAGCTCTGAGGGGTGGGAGTAGATGCTGGAAAACTGGCAAGCAGGGGGAGCTTGACAGCTCCTAGCCATGCACCTGCTCACCAGCCCTCTAGCAGCATGTCCGAGTAGTGCAGGGTCACAGGTATTCACCCTTACCATGCAACTGTTCAGACAGTGCTTTAACTTTAATGTTGCCTAGCTTTAGTCTGTAGTTCCAACCTCTACATGAGATTTCTTGTCTCCTCAACAAGGACTTGCCCTCTGAGCTTAACATTTAGCTCTTGCCCTGTTTCTGTGTTTGAATGCTGTCTGTGTGCCAGAGGGGGGGGGAGGGGGAGGGGGAGGGTCCTTGAAACTAGGTTCCCTGGTTTTAGCTGTTGGCTACACCTGACCTTGGAGCAGTCATTACAGGGGAAGTAGCTCTGTATTGGAATAGGCTCAGGTGTCCCATAGGTATGAGTGGTTTGGTCAGCCTTATAAAGGTGTGAAAAGCTCAAATACATGTAATGACTATGAAGTCTTTGGAGATTTTAATGATTAAAGATGTCATTGGGCATGTGGAAACTGATTTTTATTTTTAAAAGGATTACAACGTGAGCAAAACTGAGCAGATCTTTTACAGAGTTTGCACAGGATATGTCCCTGACACACGGGTTTATATTCTCCAGTTAGATTTCAAGTTTGTTCCCCAAATATGTGGGTTTTAGAGCTTTCCAAAGAAAGGTACCAGAATATTTAACACTGTAAAAACAATTTTTTTCCTAGCCTCAGTCTTGGAAGTGATCAAGTTGTTTTAGCTGAAAATTTTTATCTGAAACAGACATTCAGAACAGGCCATACTCGTTTAAATGGGTAAAAGTTGATGAAAATAACGAGCTGAAACTAAACCAGCTGGGGGCACCTCCTGTGGTTGTTGAGAACTTTCCTGTAGCTTCAGTTGTTCATCTTCAAAGCAAAAACAAGAAAACACTTGCTTTGTTGTTGACTGCATTCCCATGCTGATTAGTTTGTGCTGGGTATAATTTAGATCTGCTGGTTTAACCTTTTTGCAATAAATGTTTGAATAGGCATGTGTTTAAACAAAAGATGGGGGAAATAATACTTTAACACCTTTTTTGAAATATTTGCTATATTGTAAAGACATTTGAAATACTTGGGTTGAGCTAGAAATGAATTATTCATATTGTTTACATTATTTTTACAGTTGCTGATTGTGTTGTGTTGGATCCAAGGATTGCTGCATGGCTGATAAATCCTAGCGACACTGTTCCCTCTTTTGAGTATTTAATACTAAAGCATTTTAAAAAACCTCTTTCTACAAGAATGGTGAATATGAACATGGGTTTGTTAAGCAATACATTGGTAAGTAGTTTTTAGAGATTTACGTACAATAAACAAAAAGGGAGTAAAATAATAATATTTTTTCTATCGTATTTAGAAGACTATATAAACATACGCATGTTTCTTTGGCAAGAGGAAGGAGCATGTTTTCTTTCTTAACAACATATCCTGGAGAACTGGTATAAAATATCCAGGACTGCTTGAAATCTGTGCCATAATGGGCTCTAATTTTTCATAAGTAACTACTAAATTCTGACAAGCAGCCCCTAGGTCCCATGGCAGCATTAATTAATTATCATAAAATATCCTTGATCTCCTCTTTCCCAAATGCAATATCATCATCAGAAGGTATGTCCTATCTATTTGTAGTAGTGTAGCTAGGTTAAAGTGGCACATACCAAGAATCACATATATGACAGACCCGTACTGTGGCCAGTTAAAATACCTGGTTTTGGGGATTTGGCATATGGGTTGTCTGTAGATGATAGAAACAAACAAACCACACTTTACCGGGAGAAGCAGCATGTTAATTTAACTGGGCTCTGCAGTTCGGGCACTTTAGCGGGGCTTTTTGGTGATTCAATCGTCTATTAGATAAAAGCACCAAAAAAGCCCTGCCAAAGTGCCTCTGATCTGTACAGATGTTGGGTGAGCTGGGTCCAACTAACATGATGCCACTTTTGGGCATGTGCTGGGCTCAGCGTGCTCCTGTGCCAAGCTTAAACTAAAGTGCCATGTATATGTGTGTGTATTTTAACATCTGCAAGCAGCCACATTGAACAGGAGCAAGTGGTATATTCTTTTGGGTACTGTTTAATTGTTTGATTATTTTATCTGTTTTTACTGTGAGCTGTTCTCAGCCTTTATGGGGAGAGCAACATAAATCAAATCAATAAATAAAATACTTCCCCATCACTACCTAGTCTGAGGGAGGGAAAATTGAGAACAACTTTGGAAACACTAGGCTTCAGTAAGTATTGTAATAGTTCTGAGAGTTTGGCAAATCGGGGAGAACTACTGAGAGAACCTGTGTGCCGCAGAGAGAATAGAATGGCGAAGTCACTAAAACAAGTGCTGTGTTTCTTTATGCATATTAACATTTCTAAGAAAATGATGATTTGTAATATCAATAAGGTATTTTAGATGATTTCTTACCTTGTGCTGTGGAAGCTCTTCAGTGAAATTAAATGGAACATTTCTATTACATGTTTAGTGATAAATGTCTTTGAAGTTCCTTTTTTTTATATCCCAGGGCACTATTTTTAGTTATTTATTTATTTTTAGTTGCCTGTCAAAATGATCTATGTAATACTTGGATATGGGGGTAATTTTTTTCCATTTCTCCCCCCAAAACCATTTTATAGTTCTTGTTACCTCTTGAGGTTCTCTTTTATAGCTATTGTGCTTATTCTGTCTTCTGTGCCAGTTTCTTTACTTGTTTATGACAACTCTGTGCTACTTCATTTGTTGTAATCTACTGCAGCATTGTTCTTTCCATCCTGTGGTGCATAGAGAATGAAATGAAGCAAGAAGACAGTACAGTAAAAGCAAGGGAAGGAATAAAATAAGCATTTGTTGTCATGCAAATAAAGTGGATAGGTTTGTAGAACATAAAGGAAGACTAACAAGCACCCAGGTAGACTGGTAACATGAAAAAAACAGGGTGGCCAATTTGCAGCAGGCGTGTCACAAGTGGCATGGACAGCCTCTGTGTCATACAATAGGTCAGGGAGGGCCTGGCAGCACAGTATCAAATTGGGCAGGAAGCAGAAGGCAAAGCAGGTAATCGGGCAAGGACCATTGGGCAAAAAGCAGAGCAGGAGATTGGGCAGGGATCACAGAGCAGGTAACAGAAAGCACAGCAGTAGATCAGGCAGAGGAAGTGGATCAGAGTGGTACCTGGGGAGGGTGCAGGACTAAATTGTGGTATGCCTATCAAAAAGGTTAGCCTCCAGTGAAATAGAGTGTAATGAGTAAACAAGAAGGAAGGAAAGAACATTGAGACAATGTAACAAAAGTGAACATGAGACCTACAGCAAGAAACATCATCCAAGGATGGTGTTAGATTGTAAGAATTGAAAAAGAAGAGACCTAGAAATGAGAGAGGATACAAAATGGATAGGGGATTCTTCCCATTGAAAGAAGAAAAATGGTGACTTTTTAATGAAAAATGTTTGAGCGAGAGAAGCAGATAAACAGCCCCTCCTTGTTGAAGAAATGCAAAGCACTGCTGTGTAATCTGAAAATCAGATAAAAAATTTTTTAATGGAACTAAACTCTACAGATTATTTCATAATTTAAAAATATTTGACACTTCTGCGTGGTTTGTAGTTATAGGAGTTCTCCTGGGTTTCTTTTCTTTATTAAAAACCTCTTGTCTATCTGTAAAGAGGTTTTTAATAGCTTTCTTCAAAATAGTTTGACACCTTTTCTGTAGGTCATTCAGCTGGACTACTCATGTGCTCAACTAAAGAGCTTCTTGGTAAGTCCACAGCAGTAATTCTCAACTGGGGGTGCCGAGAGATCCTTTTAAAGGTGCCTCCCCACTGTGCCTCTTTCTGGAGATACTGTGTGGGGTTAGACTGGAAAGCCCAGCCTGACAGGAGGGGCTACCATGAGGCTGCTGTTGCTGTCCTACCTGAGAGCCCAGAGAGGCGGCAGAACCACTGTAGATGAGAAAATGGTATGTCACCCCTGTCCCTGTGCTTCCTGGTGGGCAAAGGGCACTGCCTGGGCTTCATTCATCAAAGCAAAGGTGGTAAGTGAAGCCTCTTTTGTGCAGGGAAAAGGAGGGGCTCGCCTTGCCTGCATGAACAGAAGGTACCACTACATTCAGAAAAGTTATGGAGGGGTGCCTTGCGTCTAAAAAAACTGAGAAACACTGGTCTACAGAGTGTAAAGCAGCCATTCTCTAGCTCTGGAACCAGATGGGGTAGATGCTGGAAAAATGGTGAAAGATGATGATGTATAATTTAAGAGCACTGTGACATTTTCAAACATGCTAAAATACCAGCTTGTATTTACAAGAGCTGAATTATCACAAAGGGACTGTTGTGTCAACATTGCAGCAATTCTCTCTCAAATAATTGTTGTCTTATACTTGCTCCCATATGGATTAGATCAGTCTGCCCATGGACCTGAGGCAGTTTCTTTGCCCTAGCAGTACCCGTTGTATTCTGCCCTACTTCATGTGGCTCTGTTTGCACTGAGAGAATAAGAGTGGTGTACCCTTCCTGTTTCTCCATTCTTCTTAAGTGTTTGACTGGGGTAGGGTCTATTATATTTGCAACCTGCTTTCTCACTTGAAACCTCTTTTCTCTTTCTTTTCTCTCCTTCTCCTTCTCACATTTAGGCCAGGGGTATCAAGCATATGTGGAGCCAGGGGACTGCCTCAAGTGTTTTAACACTATGTTGAAGGCGCTCTTTTTGGGGGGTTCATTGACTTGGTGCCTTCTGTCTCTTCCCTCGCACTTTATTTTGTTCCTAACAGTTTTTCCTCTGTGGTCCTGAGGGAGGTTTCCAACCAAAGGATCAAGTAGGAAGACAGCTTTCCTTTTCTTGCCTGCAGATGGCTTGTAACTGAGTCTGTCCATGAAAGGCCTTCCCAAAGCTCATAGGGACTGAGGCACTAAGGCTTTGAGCTTTAATTCCTCCTGGCTTATCAGGAATATGAAGAGGCTTGTAGAGCACTAGTGCTGGCCCCACTTTCTGGCTCCAAGTCTTCATGCTCCACTAAGAGACAGTGCTCGCTGCTGGTGAGTGCCACACGGTTAACACACTCCCCTGTGGACTGACCTACAATGCCTGAAGTCAGCTACCTCCAAGAAAATGTTGGTCATTGCTGACTTGTTCTGAAGCTCTAGAACCAGCTTTGTGTCCACTGCCTGATGCCCGGATTATCCTTCACTTAGCACAGATCTCACCCCTGACTAGTTCTGCTCCTTGCATGGAGCCCATCACCTCTAACAACTGATGACCTCGGTTCCTCTGTGTTCTAAACCTGAATTGTATCTAGATCTCTCATCTAGTGTTGGCACTACATGACGCTACCCTTCGACCCCATGGCCAGATCCAGAGACTAAATGTAACTTGGATTCTATGCCTCCAGCACCAGTATTTCTTTCCTCTCCATGTTTGTATTTTGGAATTTCTTGTGATTATTGACATGGATCTACAATGGGAGAGAGTGTATGGGATAAACCCGGCAATGGTGGGGATGCATTGGTTCCACTGGGAACCCAGCAGTAGTCCAGGACAGAGTGGGACCTAGTGGTAGGAGACTTGGTAAGCTGTTCACCTGTCTCTCATCCCCCACATCCAGACATAACAAAGTGAAACCTTCTAAAATAACCCTTTGTTAGAGAGACACTATTTTGGAGTGTTGCAGCTGCATTTATAATGTTTCAAAGGGCACATATGTTTGTCCTGTTGGCTCTTTGAAATGTTTTAATTGTTGTATGTGTCCACACCTGAGTTGCCAAGGGTCTCATCTTCATTAGGACAACAAATCTGACTTAATGTCTGAGGTGTTCACTAGGTGTCTCTCACTTCTAGTTCCCACTTTCAGGATTGCTTGGTGTGTTCATTTGTGATGAACAATAAAATGATGACAGCCTCAAAAGCTAGAAATCATTCATTTTGGTTAGACAATTCTCTAAATGGCCTCCCAAGAACGACTATTATTTTTTACTGCACACAGAAACTACATTAAAAGAACATTAAGGTTGAAAAAGTCAAGCATTTAAATTAGGAAATGCCTGTATAATCTTAATTTGACCCTTTTGTGTGTCTTTAAAAGACACTCTTTTAATGTCTTTAACTACTATGGTAATAAAGAGTTCTTCACTCAAGCAGACAAATGTATAATAAGATCCAGTGACTCAAAGTTGAAGTTAGACAAATAGTGGATAGAAATAAGGCTTTTTGAACAATCAGTGTAATTACCAGGGGTGAAACGTATCAAGTGTTGTAGGGGATTGATTCTCCACTGGAAAATTTTAAAACAAAATTAGATTTTTTTT